TATGTGTATAAAGGGAATAAAGTAGAAATACTGTATGATTAATGCATATGATGGAATCTTCAGGGGCAGAAGAGAAGCAGGGCCCTAATAGATGAAGGCTAGAAACACCAAACCATTCCAGCCAGGTTCTGAATATTAAATGGGTTCTGAATAGTCCTTTCCAAAAATATGTAAGGAGGAGAAGCAGGGAAAAAGATAATGATTTAGAGGGATGTCTCATATATTATTTACTGAGATAGGAGGGAAAGTCAAATTCAATAAAGTAGAGATTGATTTATCCAACCAAGTCCAGCAAGGGGATTAGTAAAATAAATACAGTTTTCAGTGAAATTGTGCTGTAGCCCTTGTTTTTTAAAGCCATGCTTCAGAAAGTTTGTATCCATGAGAAATATGGATAATTTTTTATCAAATGGCAAGGACAGACACTAGTAATAGCAAATTTTTATGTTTTTAGATTATCACTTAGTATTTATNTTTTTTTTTTTTTTTTTTTTTTTTTTTTTTTTTTTTTTTTTTTTTTTTTTTTTTTTAGTATTTATGTTTTTAAGATTAGCCCCTGAGAAGCTGCTTATTTCCTCTTGGCACTTAGTGATTGTTTAGGATATGAAGCCATCAACTGGGTCCCTTATTATGACCATAGAAAATGTCATGACCTCCAGTCAGTGACTATTTTTGAAGGAATGGGAGAAATGGTATTACACACGCACACACACACACACAATTATAAGCATAGTATGTAAATATTTTAAAGAGAAAATACAGACCTTAAAATCACAAAATTTAAAGAAGTTAATGTGAGGAAATGCATACTTTCTCACTGATAATAATCATGTAGTTATTTTTTGATTATTTATATAATCATAATGACAAGTTGTTATTTTCACCAATTTGTAACTGCTACCAATTTCTCGTAAGACAGCTAAGATTTGTAAGTATTGGTCAGAATGATTTTTGAATTTAACCAAACTGGGAAAAAAGAAAAGAAAAAGAAGAATCTTTTGGCTTTGGTGGGAATGTTAGGGCTCTAGGATCTGAAGCAAAGTGACCTCCAGAGCCCTCACATAGCTTTTCTCATCTGCAGATTGTTGCTCAGCGTCCGGTGAAAGCTCTTTCTTCCATTGCACCAGACTTGTCTTCCTTGTTCTTATTTTACTTTGCTGTTTCATGAAGTAGAGACAGTTTACAAGTATGACCCTTTTACAATTAGAAACGATATCTCTCCAGCGATTTTCTTTTTAAAAGTTTCAGCTAAATTTTGCTTCTATGTTCTCTGACCAGATATTTGCGTTTTTCTCCACACCACCTCAAACTTAGAGTGATCTCATCATCCAGTGGTTCAAGTTTTTGTTTGTTTGTTTGTTTTGGGTATCAGGTATTTTAGGATGATAATTTTTCAAAACTGAGTTCCAAAGAAGCTCATAGGCTTATGATATTTTAGACCAACTATTAAGTGGAGTTGAAAATTCTGCCTTTAGGTTTATAGTTATTTCATCTTAATCATTGAATGGCATATATTAGTGGTATTTGCATGGAAGGTGGCTTGTAAGCCTTGACCATGTATTTTTAAAAAGAAGGCAGGAGTTCAACTCTAAGTTATGCAGCATATCAGAGGTAGAGGGTCTACATATGCCTCTTGTTTTAATTCTAATGGACAATGGCCCCACTATATAGACTTCTAGCTCATTTTAGAGAAATAGGAAACCTATACATGTATGAATTGTTTAAAGAAGGTGTGGAGTGGAACTTTAGATTTGAAGAGGAAAAAAGGCATATCAGCAGCATGGTTATCTGTATAATTTGGGGGCCCAGTGCAAAATGAAAATCTAGGGCTCTTTGTTCAAAAATTAAGAAGTTCAAGGCAATGATAAAACATTCAGTCAAACCCAGGGCTCTTCTGAGCATGGTTACACCTATAAAGCCTGCCCTGGTCAGAAGTTGAGATGGGGGTGGTGTGCCTAGTTGGCTCAGTCGGTAGAGCTTGTGACTCTTAATCTCAGGGTTGTGAGTTCCAGCCCCATGTTGGGTTTAGAGATTACTTTATAAAAATGAAGTTGAGATGGGAGTAAAAAAAAAAAAGGAATGATCTGTTTTTTTCCTAGGATGTTTCCCTCTCTGTATCTTTTCCACTCTTACCTGGGTACTCATCAGATGTGATCATCTCTCAAGTTGGTACCATTGGAGCAGTTAACTCTGACACTGTAATCCATGGGGGAAAGAGCTGGAGAAGGAGGCCTCATTCTACCAGCGATGACTGGTTGGGGGGTGAGGGTTGAAGTTCTGCTGAACTAGGAGAGAAAGCACAAATGTAGGAACTCTACGACTTTCTAGCAGTGTATTAGATGCTCTGCATCTAAGTTTTCATTGCTGTAAAATGGTGAAGTCTATCTCACAGGGTTATTGTATGGACTAGAGATAATGTGGAAATTCCTAGCACAGCGGCTAGTATGCAATAGGAGCTCAAATATATGTTGCATATAAGGTCTTTTTTTTTTTTTTTTAAATGAGTGAGGAGATGTACTGAGGATGGGTGAAAAGACCTCAAGTCTCAGATGGGGTGGAGGATCTCGAAATGCTTGAAGAGCCTCCTAGGAGCTGACTACTTCTCTGCTTCCATCCTTAGTTCCCCAGTGCTTTATAATGGTTTAAAACTCAAAATTGCATCTTCTTCCCAAACAGGGCAAGAAACAGTCTGTGGGAAGTCAGCACACAGTAGAGTTCAGTCTCCGACACTGAAAATTTGCCAACTCTCACCCACACTCTAGCAATGAGAAAGCAGCTGTGGGCAGCAGTGGAGTGAAAGCCATGGGGTCACTGGGATACATTACACTTACAGATGTTCCATTGTTCACCCTGAGATTACTTTGTAGTTTGTCTGTTTTGTCCATTTAGGTTTCCATGATATGCAAAGGATAGAGCCAAAGCCATTTTATGTAGTTTTTCCACTTTGTTTTGATTTATTATTTGTTGTTTACAGTATTATCTCCAATAACAATGATGGAATTTCCTTCCCTACTAATCTGGCCTGTTTCCATTTTGCCTGTTTATTTTAATTTCCTTTTTTTGGACTGAAACCTCCACATGACTTTCCTTTGTTTATTTCCTTGCATGTATGTGTCAGCATCATTTATTAGCATATCCTCTCAGATGAACTTTGTTCATTAATTACAAAGCTTTTGTTTCCTGGTTCCTAGGAAGACTGTATTCAGAGCTTCATGTTTCCAAGTATTGCATGCTGGTTTGGGTTAGCAGTTTCCTCATCACTGCTCTCTGCAAGCAGATGGCTTGCTTTCCGTGGCTTCCAGATGCAACATGTGAGGCAGAGAAGTAGTAGTCTGCCACATAAGATGCTTTTCTCAGATCCTCAACCAGTCAACCCCGCTCGGCTTATCAATGCCAATTTCTGTTTACTTTTATTTGGGCAGTAGGTTATGTGAGCATAAGACCTGCTTTTTGCAGACATGCTCAATTCCTTGAAAACATTTCCATGAAAACTAGAAGCTGTTAACTAATGAGCAGTTGCAGCTTGCACTATCAGCTGCTTGGGGATGCATGATGAACGTTAGACTTGGCTCTTTCTAATGAAAGCCTACAGTCCACTAAATCCATAAAAAAGTGAAAGGGAAGAGGTAATTTGACTTATACATTTGTTATTTGAATATATTGGGTCTGCTGCCTCATTTTCTCTGGATCCTCATGATTCACTGGATTAACTAATTCATCAAACATCTGTCTAGTATGTACCCTCTATATGATACCATCTGTAGTGTCAAGATGCTCAAAAGACCAGAAGGCGGAAATAGGGTTGGAAGCAGGTAAATATAATAAAGTGTAACAGGAGGCACAGTGGAAATCTGTCCAAAGTATATAAGGAGAGTAACCATGCAGGAAAGGTCTTTATTCTTGGTGTAGGGGCGGGAAGAGACATCACAAACAAAGGCTAAAGTTACCAGATATCTTTGAGATCCATACATATCTTCTAATGGCTGAAACAGTGGCTGAGGATGCAGTAATGTGTGGCGGAAGAAGGGTAAATGGAGGAAGCCAGACATAAAGGTCTGTGGTTGCCATTTTAAGAAGTTGGGATTTTATTCTCTAGGAAAAGTTTTAGGTGGGTAAAACATCCTTATCAGATACACTTAAAAAAAAAAAAAAGATTCCGAGAAGGATAGATTGAGCATGACTTGGAGGCAAGGAGATTCCTTAGGACAGGATGGCACTGAGCAGGCACGATGTGATTCCAAAGAAGCCAGTGGTGGGCAGAAAGATGTCAAGGAAGTTAGACCTTATAGTATTGGTGTCAGTTTAAAAATACTGTCTTCAGCAGCAGCTGCTGATGAAACTGAGGCTCAGGAAAGCGATGTAGCCAATAAATATCAAGGAGAATATTTCTCCATGATTCCACTGCAGTTCGAGAAGCTGAGTATTGTGGCATTTATCACTCTATGCTGTAAGACACCAAACTATGATGACTTGTTTACAGCTCCTTCTGCCCTGAGACATTAAGCTTCTTAAGGTTCAGAGCCCAACTACCAAATCATATGTGCATGCCTTGCATGGAGCCTCATATCAAGGAGTGCTCGTTAGATGTTTGAAGAGGAAAAGTCCTGACACCAGAGGCTCTTCCACGTGCAACACATGGCATGGAAACATGAAGGCTTGTCTTACACCCGCCCGTTTCCATCTTGCCTCCTGAGGGGGCCAGAGCAAAGTGACAAAGAGGTATACTGGGCAGGTGATGCCTTTTACAATGCTTTAAAATTTCTGATCACTTCATCCTTTCTGAAAATGCATCCCTGCTTTCAGAAGCCTGCTTTAAAATAGCAGCAGTGAATATTTAAAATATAAAAGGTGGCCATAAAAGATGACGCCTGTTGTGACACTGTCTTCTATGGTCTTACCATCCACAAATCAAGCAGGATAATTTGCCTTCTTATCTTTCTTTTATGGTAATTCACGTTCTAAGCTGGATTGCACTTTATTCTTCCACACAGGTCCGTAATGCCTCCTGTCTGGCTCTTTCAAGATGGAGGAGAAGCCGGCGGGAGAGCCTACTCAAGTGGTGTCTAAATTCAAACTTCCCACCAAGGGAGAGAGCGCAGGACACTGGCTGGTGGAGGGTCATGCTCGTATATGGGAAGTTCTAAAGACAGAGGAGGTAAGACAACTCTAAATGACTCGGTACAATGGTGGATTTTCTGAGACTTGAGATTCTAATCTTCGTGTAGTTAGCACCACAGAGCATCTTGGCAAAGTTTTGTTCAGGGTTCGTTGGCACACCCACACCCAGTGAACAGTAGGTCAGGAGTGTGTCCCTTCGACATTAATGACATCATAGTGATTTAGCCAAAACAGGTGGCCCTGAGAGGTAGGGCTTCTTCAAATACCCAAGTAGACATTCTCCTTGTAGAATCCCACCAGTTCTAAATGGGAAATCAAATCATAGTGAGAAAGTTAATTCCTAAAGATCAGTCATAACATGTGGACTTGCATAAATTCATTGTTTGGCATCATGAGGCCAAGTGTATCAGTTAGGGCTCTCAGGTTGCAGGCAACAGAAATGAACTCTGACTAATTTAAGCAAAATGGGAAATTACTGGAAGATATTGGGAGGCTCACAGAATTGGTGAGAGGTTGATGAAAACTAGGCTTGGAGGGGCACCTGGGTGAGCTCAGTCTTGATTTCAGCTCAGGTCATGATCTCACAATTCATGAGATCAAGGCCCATATCAGCTTCTCTGCTGACAGTGTAGTGTCTGCTTGGGATTCTCTCTCTCTCCTCCTTTCTCTGCCCCTCCCCCTGCTGGCATGTACTCTCTCTCTCTCTCTCTCAAAATAAATAAATAAACTTTAATAAAATAAAATAAGGAAAGAAAGGAAGGAAGGAAGGAAGGAAGAAAACAAACTAGGCTTGGAAAGAAGATAGGAGCCAAGTTAGCAAGAGCTGCTCAGGGTACTGCCCCTGGTATAAATTCCAGTCTTTCCCCAACCCTTTCTTTATTCTTACATGTATCTGCTCAAGATGCAAAGCCATGGCAGAGAGGGGCTCACTGCCAAGCTTAGTCACATGTCTTTTTCCTGGTTATTCTGTAAAGGGAAAAAGAATCTTCCATGAGAAATCATTATAGCAAGTCCTCACAGCACCTGTGTGTTTGGAATCCAAATCTCTAATATCCATATGTTGTGGCAGTTCTAATTCAAGAAAATAACAGAGCAACTGCAGTGTTAAGCATGTGCATACCGCCCAAGCAAATGTAAACCCTCTCTATAGCGATAACTGCCCAACAGGTTTTTGTTTTTGTTTTTGTTTTGTTTTGTTTTGTTTGTTTGTCTTTTAAAGAATAAAACTCCATAAAGAGCAGTTGAAGTCTCTACATGTCCCGCCTATGGTCAGATAAGTGAGGTACCGAGGGAACCAAACTTAAGGAAGCACTCACTGTTAGGTTTGTGTCCTGCACTTGAACAAACTTGACAGTTGATGTGTCCTTATATTTTGAAGAGCCTTGCTTCCCTCACCCTAAGGCTGGCTCTGACACCCAATTTTATTCTTGTCCCCTTTTCCCCCAGGTAATCCCTCTTCTGAATTTGGCATTCATCATTCTTATGCATAGTTCCATACATATAGTATATCCCTGTTATCCACATATCCAATATGTAGTATTGATTTATATCTTTTAAGTTTTGTATAAGCTTTATACTATATATTTACTTCTATAGCTTGCTTTTATTTATTTATTTTTTTGACTAACATTTGGTGTCTATCTTGCCTGTTTTCTGTGCTTGAGATCTGTAGTTCTAACTTATTCACCTTTGACTGCTTTTTATATTCTATTGATTGAATCAAATTTGCTTATTCTCTTATTAACCTTTAGGATTTTTTTTCAATGCAAGGTTGTAGAATACATTTCTTTAGCATAGATACTTGCAAGTGGCCTGCTGTATTATAAAGTATGAAAATATTCAGTTTTACTAGTTATTATCAGATCGATTTCTAAGATGGGACATGAGTTTCTATCCCCACTAGCAGTGTCTGAGAATTCCCCTTGTCGCATACCCTCACCAGTTACTGATATTGTCAGACCTTTAAATATTGGCTGATCTGGTTGTTTTGAAATGGGATCTCCTTGTTTTATTTATTTATTTTTTTAATATTTTTATTTATTTCTAGGAGAGAGAGAGAGAGAGACAGCATGAGCAGGGGAGGGGCAGAGAGAGAGGGAGACACAGACTCCGAATCAGGCTCCAGGCTCTGAGCTGGCAGTCAGCACAGAGCCCGACGCGGGGCTTGAACCCACGAACCGCGAGATCGTGACCTAAGTGAAAGTCTGACACTTAACCGACTAAGCCACCCAGGCGCCCCGGGATCTCCTTGTTTTAACATGAATTTTCCCACACGGATAATTAATTATCCTGGCACCATTTTTTTTTTTAATTTTTTTACAAATAGTTTATTGTCAAATTAGTTTCCACATAACACCCGGTGCTCATCCCCACAAGTGCCCTCCTCCATGCCCATCTCCCCTCCCCCCCCACATCCATCAGTCCTCAGTTTTTGTCAGCATTCAAGAGTCTCTCATGGTTTGCCTCTCTCCCTTTCCCCCACCATTTCCCCCTTTCTTCTCCTCCTTGTTCCTCAGTTAAGTTCCTCCTAATCCTCCTATACGTGCAAACATATGATATTTGTCCTTCTCTGTCTGACTTATTTCGCTCAGCATAACACCCTCAAGGTCCATCCATGTTGCTACACATGGCCAGATTTCATTGTTTCTCATTGCCATGTAGTATTCCATGGTATAGATAAGCCACATCTTCTTGATCCATTCGTCCGTTGATGGACACTTAGGCTCTTTCCATGTTTTAGCTATTGTTGAGAGCCTAGCACCATTTTCGAACGCCCATAATTTCTTCTTTAGTTTGTAATGTTCTCCTGTATCCTGTTTCTTTACACCCTCTCTCTGCTGATGTGATATTCCCTCAACTCTTTTAGCCTTAAAGGAAACATGGATATCTAATAGGACATGTCCTTCCACTGAATTACTGCTTTTAAAAATTGTGTTGGCTGTTTGCAGAAATTATGTTTTCAATATGAAGTTAGGATGAGCTTGTCAAGTTCTGAGAATATAAAGAAAAAGCAAAGTCTGCTGGGAATTCGATCAGAATTGAAATAAATTTGTTGATTAATTCAGGGAGTATCAACATCTTCATGATATTCGGTGAATATCTTGTCTAATTATCAACCTTAAAGGGATATTTCAGAATTTCACTTTGACTCTTTCACCAATAGTTTATCCTTTATCACTTTGTTGTAGGATTTTTGTAACTAAGATTAAGGAAGTTTTTTATTTTCCCTTTTTTGCTAAATATTAATTTCTTTACATTGTAATATTCGATGTCTACAAAATAATATGCATGTAAGTTATAGAGTGTGATACAAAAACAAACCCTTGTGAGTTTACAGCACATTCATATGTAGATTCTTCCAATTCTATCCCCTTGAAACCTTTGCCTGAAAAGATAGCCATTTTCTTGAACTCTATGTTTGACTATTCTTTAGCTGTTTAAACATTTTTATTGAAAATATATATGTCCCCAAACAATATTGTTTAGTTATATAAACCAGTTATATAGTGTTATATATATATGATCTAGATCTGACTTCTCTGGTGACTCACATGTTTCTAAGATTTTTGGTAGAAATTCATTAATTTTCTCTGTTGAATAATATGCCAATATGTGGTTATACCATGACTTATTTATTCATAGTTACATTCATGGATATTTTAATTATTTAGCTTTTTGGCATTATGAACAGTCTGTTATGAACATCCTGATACATGTCTGTGCCCTGGTGTAAGAGTCCTCCATGTGTGAGAATCTTTCTAGGTTAATACCGATTAGGTGAATTTTGTAGTCGGGTACATGCAAGTACTGTTTTGCACGTTATTGTCATATTGCTTTCAAATCAGTACCAATTTATACTCCCACCAGCAGTGCATAACAATTATTCTACATCCTTGCCAACTTCTGTAATTGTCAGATTTCTTAACTTTTTCAATCTAGTTGCTATAAAATAGAATCTCATTCTTCACTCATCAATTCTTGGTATATCTCAATTCCATCTTAGCTAATTTTTTTTCCTCTTTCTTTAGAATTACTTTTCTGAGAATCTAGCTATAGCAAAAGTCTTTCTTTTCTTTTTTCTTTTGGACTGTAGATGCCTTTATTTTGAGCCTACTCTTAGAATGACAGTTTGGGTGTGTATAGAAATGTAGATTGATTTCTTTATATTACAAATGTTCCATTGTCCTCTACCTTCCATTGTTTCTGTTGCAAACCAGCTAAAAGTCCAATTTTTATTTCTTTGGATTAATGTCTTTTCTAACTTTTTAATCTTCTCTACATTTTTGCTGTTTTGTAGTTATATTCTTCTGTATTGAGGTGAGAGTTTCTTTTTATTTAACCTCTTGGAATTCATAGGGATTCCCAAATATGTGGATTGTTATCTTTCATCAGTCTGGAAACATTTCTGTAATTTTCTTTTCAGATTGCTAATTGTTTTTGCTTCATTTTACTTCTATAACTCCAACAAGATTTATGTTTGTTTTTGTCACTCTTTGCTTATGTCCCTTTACTGCTTTTTTTAGAGTTGCTATCCTTTTTCTTCTGTGTTGTGTTCTGATTAATTTTAGATCTGTCTTTTAATTAACTAATTCTTTCTCAGTTGTATCTAATTTGCTCTTTAACTCAACCATGCAGTTTTAAATCTCAATTATTCTCTTACTTCTAGAAGTTTCGTTTTGTTCTTTTTAAATTTTCTAGTCATTTTTTAGTGTCTTGCTTTTTCTTCATATCTTTATTTTTAAAGACTATTTGTCAAAAACTGTAAAGGTTATTAAATTGTATGCTATTTGCAAGTTAGCTTGCCAATGTTGTGTAGATCCTGAAAGAACACATGAGACTCTTGTCTCAGACACAAAGACTATTATGCATAGAAGAAATAGTAGCAAGAGTGTCAGCATGTTTGTTTTGGTTCCTTATGTCACAGTTCCTCCAGGGCCTATGTAACTGCCTGTATGAGAAAAGATTACTGACTTTGGGAAACTTTCCAGTTTATAGTAGATAGTAAGTAAGCCTGCACTTTCTCCTTGGGGGAGATAT